AGTTTACTACTATAATGTAATATCCAATAATAATGTCTTATTTTTCACCTATAACTAGCACATGTCACAAAACAAAATTAAACAAAATTAAACACAACTACCAGTATGCGCTGTCTTCTATTGCGAACAAACATTTACCTTAGCATATGGTGCTATATAGTCTAATGCTGTTATATGTAATCTGAAACTTCCAGACTTGGTGAATTTCCCAAAACAGGTTCCCATGGAGATGAGATTGTCCCTTGACACACATCCTGCTTTCTTCATCAACTCTTCTCTGGTGAAATAAATAGAATTAGTATATAAGTTTCAGGAGAGTTACAAATATACCAGTTACACTGACCTTTATCACGATCAGCAGTCATTATTGCCTTCTATTTCACAATCTACAAGTTTGGACCCTAAACAGGGTCATTGACTCTTGACATCAATATTCATTGGCAATTAAATATGACACAACTTACAAAAGTCATCTAGCATGTTAGGAAAAGCTGGGAATGTGGTAAATTAGTTTTACTACCTGACATAGAAAACTCGGTCTCTGTGCAGTCGAAAGCAGTAAGCTCCATCTGGTCGATCAAGCAGCAGCTTGATGTTCTCACCAATACTGTAAGAATGCAAGGGATGATACATTTGTTTTTCAGACAATTTTACTTGTTTTATCAAGCTGAAGGACGTTTCCTGATATAGTTTTACATAAATATTTTGTAAAACTCATGTGAGTGAGAGTTTAGTCTTACGCCGCACTCAGCAATATTCCAGCTATATGGCGGAAAACTCACCTGAGCAAATGTCCAGCTATTAAGAACACATGTTCACACTGACTTGTATACAGAAATGTACCCTTAACAAAGTCAAAACTAGAGGTGTGACGATACAGAAATTTAACGATACGATGCGTATCGCGATATCTTGGAACGATATGATGATATCAGATGAAGTATCACGATTATCGATACTACGATATATCGTCACAGCTCTAGTCAAAACACAAAAACGTACCCGGTACCCTAAATATAGACGAGTCCATAGTCTATAACGTATACATGTAACTGTTCCTGTTCAACTGATTGCGACTGATAATGTACACTGCGAATTATTCGTTACTGTGCATGCTTGTTTCTTATACAATGCAATCAAACAATGAAGTGTACATGCATATGACATTACACCCTAGCTAACAGTGTAACCTGATGGATAAAGGGTGTTTTATAGTTAAAGAGATCAAGTTCTAACTTCTATGAAGAACCTGGATCTTACCATGGGAAAAGAAGTTCACCAAGGACTAATTAAGGGTGCTTGATAGTCAAGGCAGGGCAGCCCCATACCATTGAAAAGGGGTGTGTGATAGTAAATGATCCCTGAGACCCAGAGGGGTGGCATGGAAATAGGAACCTGTGCATGCAAATGCAATTGAGTATGGGTCACAGTGATGGTAGAGCATGGCAGCTGTAGCGTATTAGCATGATTAGGTGGTGGACATGTGGTTGTGGGACTAAAATAGAACATAGACAGCGGGTACATAAGGAACTCTTTCCTTATCATGTTTTAAAGAATGTAGGAAAGAAAGTCACAGCAAAAAAAGTCACAATACAATAATATATATTACTATAGTACTGTCGGAAATAGAAAAAAACTGTTTGTAGGCTCTTACTCTGTATCCCTAAAATTTACACAACTGCAAATAGCAGATGTCGAAATAACCCACTTCGGCCTAACTTGGCATTCAGTGGGATGCGTAATAGGGAAAAAAGTCACAATACAATAATATATATTACTATAGTACTGTCGGAAATAGAAAAAAACTGTTTGTAGGCTCTTACTCTGTATCCCTAAAATTTACACAACTGCAAATAGCAGATGTCGAAATAACCCACTTTGGCCTAACTTGGCATTCAGTGGGATGCGTAATAGGATATCCAGAAAAGCATGTTTACTCGTAAAATCAGGCAAAACTGAGAAAAAAATATGAATAGCTGCTGAAAACAATAGATCAGACTATAGATGGCAATTAGGTCACTCAGCCAGGTATGACGACGGACCGTCAACTCACCTGGCATGAAATGCACGTGCTGCCTACAGGCGCCCAAGGGGGCATCTCAAAGATATTTTGTGCTTTTTCATGTGTGTTGACTATGCCTCATCTATTGATTAACAGCTTAAGTGTCTTTCTTTCATAAAGTTTATATTGAGATATGTAAAAGAGTTTGATACCTGATAACCATAGAAACACATCGTATTAAATGTCTCAAAATATATAGGTGGCATGACCACCCGATCGCGAAGATCGACAGGACTGGATATTATTTGTAAATTGTTATGACATGCCGTGTACTTCCCCAGTATAATTGCCCTAAAGGATTATCGTATCTTAGCTGATATCTCCATCCCCATGCCCGATTCCCAAGGGATGTCTGCGACACCCGTCCAGGTTTTGCTTTTGAGACGAACCATCTTATCTGTTTCTTTTTATAGTGACAGTGAGACTCCATGGTAGGTACATCCTTAATAGTTTCAGCATGAAAGTTATTATTTTTTACGTCAGCTATCGTTTATAATGAAGCTGCGTCTAATTTCAAATTGGTCACTTAAAAAGTGTCCTTTATAATACAATATCGTCGCACACTAATTTGCATACAGCCATGGTCTGTTCCAAATAATTTGTTTTGGACTTAGAATAAAATCGCATTGCTCATTTCTGCATTAATCTCTCCTCAGTAAAGTTCTTTTTCTATGTTTCTTGTGTCCCTACCATTGAGACTGTAGTTAGGCCGAACTTAGTTTAAGAGATATTGCACACTTGCACATATCAACTACATACATTGTAGAGATAAATGAGAAAATAGTTTTTTTCTATTTCCGACAGTACTATAGTAATATAATATATACTAGTGGGTTGTAAAATATCTCAATTGTTATAACAGCTTCTATTTCTGACATGATAACATAATTAATGAGGTAATTGGGGTGTGAAACCAAGAGTGGGAGAGGCCACTGATCAGTGAACGGGGGTCACTATGAGACATGAGAGTTGTCTACTGTACGGTACTGTACTGCATCATAGTGCATGCTTGGGATTAGGTGCCTGACTCTGAGGTTGTGGGTTCAAATCCTAGGTGAGACTCATCCCAACAAAAGTACTAGAATTTGTACTTTACTGAGAAAGTGTAAACACAAATATAACAAATGTTACAACAAAATACAAGTGTATATTGTTACAGGGAATGTGTGAAACCAGGAATTTCACGGAATCGCTAAAAGATTCAGTGATTTCATGGTGTTCCATTACACACATTCCCTGTTAGGATATCAGTGAATGTGTGAAATTAATGTTTGTAGCTTAAAACTTTACTGTTCACACTTGCTAGTGCATCTTATTGTTGCAATTAATAATTTCATAGAAACATCAAATATTAATTAATTCATAGAAATACCTGGGAATATACATCATCCCGCTTTTGGAGAAGAGCTTTGGGATATGGGTTTGGGAAGGATAAGGTATTTTACAAAGCACATATTTCATGTTTGTCCTCAGTGTCTTCTCTCTACGAATGATGTGACAATGGACAAGGAACTGTTTCTCCATATAGCTGTGTCGAATTGTGGTGGTCAGGGTTTCCAGAAATGTAACTGTTGTCCTAACCAATGTAAATCGATACGTTGTAAATGTTTTAAAGTGCTACTGAAGTGTAATAGCTTGTATCATAACAGTCTATCTTGTCCCAACAAAATAATTTTATCAGCATATACTCTGTACTCGCATTATAAATGTGGTGTTCTCTATTTCAATAAAGGCTTACAGGGATTTCATGAAATCCCTGAGATAATATTTCAGTTATTTCATGGAATCCCTGGAAATTTTAGGGAATACCTGAAATCCCTGGGGGTCACAGTGATTTCACCAAATCACTGACTCTTTAAGGGATTACGTGAAATCCCTGGTTTCACACATTCCCTGTAGCATATATAAGTCTGTTTCCTTCTCCAACTAACATGAGAAAGAAGAAACTTGGTATATGTTTGGCCATGTCCTTTCCCATTTGCATCATGGATTTTTATTAACAGCAACAGTATTTGAAGGACACATGTACAGTAAGCAAGCAAGTCTGATTGATCCTGTGATTTATGGTCATAATTATACATGTCACACACCTAATAAACAGTTATTGTGACTTTTTTCCTAGCCAAAATTGTGACTTTTTATCAGTGACTTATTTTCCTGAGACTTTCTTTCAGATCACCGTTTTAAACGGACACTGCACATGCACAGAAAGGTCAACAGTTTGGAGCTGATCACTTGATAATTATTTGTGACAGTCCGTACTTAGTCCTGTGAAAACTATATAACTGATGATGAATACTAGTTGTATGAGTAACAATAAAAAATAACATGGGATTACAAACAACATGTCAGGTGTAACCTTCGTGTCCCGTTTAGCCAACTCTTCTCACTAGAGGTTACGAATGATTGCTCTCCAAATATCTGACAAATTTGCAAACAGTCCGTGACTGGTAAATGTCTGAGTAACGATTTCTACAGCCATTATTCCGGTTTCGTGGCCCAAATTGTGTATCCTACAACTAAATACGTACTATTTTGACAATTTCTGAAAGAAGGTCTTCGTTTCTTCGTCGGTGAGTGGCCTCATCTTCTCTCTTGTTTAGACAGGAAGTTCTTTCCACGTGTTGATGTTTACGAATTTACGCATGCGCACTATATATTCTAAAATTAGAAATTCATCTAAAACGGAAAATGTGCCATCAGGAGGGAAATGTTATAAGGCATTACATCGTCATCGGAATCACGTACAGGTTCATGAAAATCCCGAAATATATATTGTTGTACTTCTGTATATTGATAACAAACCGCAAATACTCGAAATCACCAAATCCGTTCACTATGTAATCCGTAGCAAATGCAATCATTTTCCGTTCCATAAAAAATAGAAAACATTCCACGCACGCATGCGCAGTTTCCACACTTCCGTTGCCATGGGATTGTTTACATTATGGCGGCAAAAGTAGATGAATCCTATTGTCAAAGATGCTACCAATATGTCATTGTAGCAATGCGATTATGGCATCTGAATCTGTATTTCAAAAGGCCCCTTCTGAATTCATATATACAAATGGAAAGAACAACATTTGGTTGGTGGAGAAATCGCCAACTTCATTAATCGAGTTGAAACTTCATTCACAGAGTCAAGATATTTTGTCTTCGCCGTCGGACACACCTTCTCATGGAGCACCTAGTCAGCACAAAGGCGATGCAGTCGATTCAGCAAATCTATTTCCAGCAATATTTGACATAAAGAAAATCAAGCAAGGGCAAGGGAACCACGTTTGGTCTACTGTCAGATGGATTTTACAGCCAAAAAGATGAGTGTTCAGCAAATATTCGGCCTGGTAGTGCAGGTTTGAATGAGATATCATCAAGTGTAAACGAATCGGAGGAAGGCAGAAACGGTGGCAAAGAGATGCCACCCAAATCACATAAATGTAAGTGTCACTAAAAGAGATGCAACTTGCACGTTTGTGAAAATATATAGTTGATACGCAGGTGTGATACGTATTGTAACTCAATTTGTGAACCAGTCTGTTGGGACAACCTTTTCTTATACTGTATGTATAAACTTACATCAGTGTAATAATCAATTTGTATCCAATTTGAACACTTCACGTTGCTCGATTTGTGTGTGTTTGTTAATTAGGTGCGAATGACTCGTGAAACGAGCACTCATTACTTTTAATTGCATTGATGTAGAACTTTGTCTAGTTACAGAGCTAAGCCATGAATCCTATTGTGTCTAGTGAAATGTGTTCTCTAATGGAATTTGAAAAAGTGCATCTGGTGAAGTGCACTACTGTGACATTTGCTGAAAACAAAATTTATTGATCAGGTCCTGTTAAAGTGCACATCTTGATTAATCATTTGTAATTAAAGGTTCTTTTGAGATAATTGATATAAGGTCATAATCATGATAATAGTTGAAATAGAGACTGACATACTGCCATTGCTTCCTTGATGCATAGTGGTGAATATTGGGCCAGGTAAATGATGGACATTGTCCTGACTTTTGTATTTCAGTTAATTGCAGTGATGATTCTTGTATTGCGATACGTGCCACAAAATATCACCATGCACCTCTAGTACAGCGTGCTTTTTATTGTAGAATGGAGAAATGATACATTGTATAATCAAGGAGGGCAGAAAGATCATATCACAATTTTTATTTGTATCCATTCCCACCAAAAACTAAGAAATTAGTAAGATTATGATGAATGGTGATATTCACTTGTTCACTTGCTCTTATTTCAGTTGTGAAGAAGAAAGGAAAGTCACAAAAGAAATCACATGCCTCCCCAGTGCTAAAGAAATCTCAAACCACCCTTCATCTTTCGCAGTCACCCAAGTTATCTGATGGTGCTTCAAAAATCCAGTTCCGAATCTCTGCTCAGGAAAACTCAACAGGCGATCTCAATGTCCTGTCAGCTCAGTGTAGGGCAGTGAAAATGCATGAACACACTGAATCCAAAATGAAACTATCATTTGTACATAATTCGTTTCATTCAAAGGAACTGGGTAATTTAACTAAACCATCCTTCATAAACAAAACATATACAGTGTCAAAATCTATGAATCAAATTCCAAGATCTCAGAATGTTAAGGGAGACAACAAAAGAAAATCTTGCTCAAGTACGTCTCCTTCACCAATACAGCTGACCCGCAAGTCGTTAGCTCAGGCTGAGAATGTGTATCTGCAACGTGTGACTAAAGTTTACCTGTCTGAGAAACATTCAGGTGTGATAAAAGATGAAGGTCTTGAAATGCCTTGTGCCCCACCTGCCACACCTACTGCAGGTAAGCTTTGATTGTCTTTCTGATTCTATTCTCTATATTCCCTGATTAGTTATATTACTAGTCTGAAAGAAACATCCAAACACTTAGCAAAGTTGTAGATGTGTTGTGGGTACAGTGAATAATATTGTGGCTTCTCCCTTGAAGCTGTGAATTGTTTTTCTGCATCCATTCTCTACATGTGTGCATACTGGACATACATTCAGATATGTCACAAAATCGTGAAAAAAGTATATTGCATTCCTGTGAGTGAATTAGTAGTGTAATGTTTGTTTGTTAGTTTACATTGCAGTAATGCAGTAATTCAACTGGGTCAGGACAACCTTTATATAATGAAGTCTGGGCAAGACAAACCAGCGGCTGACATTATGGACAATGTGCCTTGTTAACTTGTGTCTATGATCTGGAATGTAGGTTTAACATGAATTTTCTCTTTCTGTTACCAGAGCAGTTGAGACGCTATGAATACGTCCCCAGTTTAACTGATGTCAGAGTAAGTACACTATATTCTTACTGGGACTTCTTTCAGCCAGTGTAGCAGGCTACAAAAGCAAAAGGCTGCACAAGGCATATTTTTCTGTTTTATATGGTTAGAATATAAAGGAATGCAAAATAAAAAAAAAAAGAGTTGTGTACAATGTGTGAAGCCCATTTCTGGTGTCCCCTGCCATGATGTTGCTGGAATATTGCTAAAAGCGGCGTTAAACCAAACTCAGTCAGTCAGTCTTTTTTTTGGCAGCCTGCAGGTAACTTTTAGCTCTTAGGGATCAGGCTGAATTATATTGTTTATTCCGAAAATTTGTAACTTGCTGCTTTCAACATTTTACCCACCATTCAACAATCGTTGCACATATAATTGGTTTGTTTAAAAAAAAACATGTAAAATATGCAGAATGTGGAGTTTGGTGTACTTTAATATTTGACCCAGGTTTAGCCCATCCTTGTTTAATTTTCTAGCTGTTTGATTGTACTGAAACTATTTTTTTTTAGTTTTTGTTGTTGTTTTTCGTGCTATTTTGAGCTGGATCTTATGTTTAAACATCTTGTTAACTGAAGTTTGTTGATGCTGTATTTGTGGTCTTGGCACACATCCATTTTTGAAATCTAGAACATGTCTATGCTGGTACAACAGGACAGTGCATCTTTGGATCTGTGTAAGGCATACAGTGATGAGTTATCTCTAATACTTGCAGTCCCAGCGTGCTGTCCGACAATAAGACATACAGTGATGAGTTATCTCTAATACTTGCAGTCCCAGCGAGCTGTCCGACAATAAGACATACAGTGATGAGTTATCTCTAATACTTGCAGTCCCAGCGTGCTGTCCGACAATAAGACATACAGTGATGAGTTATCTCTTAATGCTTGCAGTCCCAGCATGCTGTCCGACAAAAAGACATACAGTGATGAGTTATCTCTTAATGCTTGCAGTCCCAGCGTGCTGTCCGACAATAAAACATACAGTGATGAGTTATCTCTTAATGCTTGCAGTCCCAGCGTGCTGTCCCAGCTATGAGTTATCTCTTAATGCTTGCAGTCCCAGCGTGCTGTCCGACAATAAAACATACAGTGATGAGTTATCTCTTAATGCTTGCAGTCCCAGCGTGCTGTCCGAAAATAAGACATACAGCTATGAGGTATCTCTTAATTCTTGCAGTCCCAGCGTGCTGTCCGACAGAAACTGCAAGTGATGGAGAGAAAGGAGCATCAGAAAGAGGAAAAGAAGAAGGAAGAACAGGCAAAGATTGACAAGATGTTGCAGAAAGATAAAGAGAGTGAACTGCGACGTCGACAGAGGCAGGAGGTATTCATGTTTTGTTCGTTTCTTAAGTATTTCGTATCAGCGCCAGCAATATAATCCAGCTTGCAGAACTATGAATTCCATCTACAAGAGTCTGGTGAGCCTTGGGTTATAAGAACTAATGGTCAGATACCTGGGCTTGTTGCAAAGAATGCCCTGGGTTTTGAGACTGGCTGTCTTGGCTGATTACATTGACATTGAGTCCCTGATATATATAGTAGCCCACTCTAAATTACATGAATGAAACAAATGTCAGTGTAACAAGCACTTGACCTGTTGAATTTGCCTAGTTTTTTTTAATATTTCATGCTTTTTGAGTAAGAGAGGAACTAATAATTGTGCTTGTCGCAATATTCGACTAACGGGATCAGATGTTTAACGCTGTACTCAGCAATATTCCAGCTATATGATGGTGGTCTGTAAATAAATAATCAAGTCTGGACCAGACAATCCATTGATTGACATCATTAGCATTAATCTATGTAATTGGGATACAAATGACATGTGTCAACCAACCTGACTACCCGATCGCATTGGTTGCTGAATACCAATTCTATCCTGGATCTTCATGGGTAATTAATTCAGAACTGCCAGTGTTAGGTTATATGCTATTCAGATGGTCAGGTTTTATAATTTTGTTTTATGGTGTTCACAATATCAAGCACAGGTTTGTGTGGTGACTTTCTGGCGGGATATTGTAGAAACATTGTTTTGTGAGCAAATAATGACAGAAACACATGTAAATGATTTTTTTCTCACTTTTTCAGATTTATGCCTTGAACAAGATCATGACAGAGCTGGAGCACAGGCGTTTTATGGAGTTCTGTATAGCAAGGGGGTTCAACTCCTGATGGGTTACAGCTCATGGTGTACAGCTGCTTGTTACATCTTCTATAGTATTTACCATTGATTGGATGGTACAGGGAAGTTTACAAAGTTTTTGTCCTCCTTTTTTATGAACACTGTTTATGGTTTCCTTTGACATTTTTATTTAAATCATTGTTGAGGCCAGTTATTTGTGGGTTTTATGCTCCATATTTGGGAAACTCTTTAGCCTTTATGTTAGGGATGTAGGAATATTGCTGATGATGTATGAGCTGTAACAGACAAATGCAATCGTTCTCTGGAATTATGCTGAGATAATTAGATGATCATTAGATACAGCCATTATGACAATCTTCAGAAGAAGACATGAATGACAAAAGGCATTGTTTTTTAAAAACTGAAGCTTTAATGAGTGTTTTTAGTTCATAGTATCATGTTATTCAATTTTGTATTACATTTTAAGAATATATCAGAACGACCAATACATACAGAATACAAGTTTTAAGTACCTTTATGCATATATTTTAGAAATGTTTTACTAAAGTCTGCTCAAATTCTTAATCATATTCAACTTTACTACTTTTTTTACACGATATATTGTTCACTGGAAATATTGTTATAAATCTGTGATATACTTCTCACGATCTTTACATATGCAGTTTTATATACCATTTGAAATACTGCTGTTACTAATAGTATTATTGTATGCAGGCGGTGGGCTAGTCTGATGGTTAAAGCATGTGCTTGTCACGCTGAAGATCCGGGTTCGATTTCCCACATGGGTACCATGTGTGAAGCCCATTTCTGGTGTCCCCCGCCGTGATATTGCTGGAATCTTGCTAAAAGCGGCGTAAAATCATACTCACTAATTTTGTATGCTGATGCTGAAGTAAGAAACACTTTTTGCAGGGCACTACAGTCAAACACTGGTGTGTTGAAGTTAAATACTTCCAGTTATCTGAGGTTCGGTAAATAGTGTACTACAAGCTGGCTTCTGTAGAGTTTAGGCTATGATGTGGTTTAATAAGGGTCTTTTCTGCGAGGAACTGCTCTTCAGTGAATGACATTTAGAAGTTAAATGCTGAAGGGAGAGAATTCATGGATGTCAACTTCTTTGTTTTTGGAAGGAGTAAGTCTATGTTCCGAAATAATGAAGTTTACATCCATGTTCTCCCCTCATGTTTTGGTGTATGTCCTGGTTTGATTGTGTCCTGCTAGGTCTAGCTGGCCTTCATGTAATGAAAACATTCTTGAGACCTATTAGATCTAGGCATCTCCTGTACACTGGGATCATCTGGAGGAATTATACAGGTGTGTGACCGTCACTGATGAAACAATATGTCACAAATTTAGACAATATGATGCAGCATATGCTAATCAACATCTTGTTAATGTTTTGTTCTGTTTTCATTTTCCAGAATGTGGTATCATTGTTAAAATTGCGCACAATTTCCTCAGACCCTGCCTGATATCAAAAGCCAGTGTTACCATGGTTACCATTGGTCCTGAAACAAAATGTTTCATATGTGTAATTTTATTAGTAAGAACCAACTTTTAGAATGGCACCTTTGAAGCTGATGGATGACAAAGTAGATACAATCTATGGACTACCATTTGATGTACTTAATCCTGCATTACTGATTTCCTCATCAAACATTTTCTCGATCTTGTTATATTATTTCATGTTATCTTGCATTTTTGTAAATTGTAACTGTTAATCATTCACCAGTCATGCTGAGATTATTCACCCCTGCCAGACAGTGGTATAAGGATCTACTCTGAAACAGTGCTTTAACAGTATATGATAGAAGCTGTTATCCATACATTGAGTCAACCTTTTAACTTGTATTTAACAGGACCATATAAAACAGAAATAATGCCACTTGTATGACATGGTGACTCAGAAAATGCTGAATGTACTGGAACATTTTATTTTCAAAGTATGAAAATGTTTTGGATATTTTTTACTGTTGTTTCACCTGTTCCAGAATAAGAAATCTTTAAGTTCTGTGTCTTTGAATGGCATTTAGAAGTGATTCACATAAAGGCAAGAATTTTATGGATGTCAACTTGTTTACTGTGATGGACACAATGTTTTGGAGTGTAACACCACTCACCTGATGAAGGAGTATGAATATACTCCAAAACCTCGTGTCCATCACAATAGAGAGGTTGACAACCATAGAATTCTTGCCTTTCTGTAAGTTTTGTTCCTAACTGCCTTTAAATTTGTCTCAACAGATCATATCGATTGATGTGATCTGGTATATGAACAACATACATTTCAGCAACCTCAGCTAGATTAACTTACCGACTGACCGACCAACTACCATTTTGCATCCCACATTCAGAGAACCACAACATGTATATTTACCCCAATGACGTTTTTGAGTTGTTTTGTTTGATGACACATTCAACAATGTTCAAGTTAAAGGATCAAAGCTTGTATATAATCAAGCCTGGATCAGACAATCCAGTGATTTATGTTATGGCCAATGATCCAAGTTAACACCTGTGTTGCCTAATTCATTCGGATGCCTCTCACAACTATCATGTGGGTTGTTGTTGGACATTCTAATCTGGATTCCCCAGAGATATGATTAGCAGTGTGTTCCAACTCAGGGTTATGTGTCCTAGGCTTGACTCCCAATTCCCGTTAGAGGCGACTAACAGGATTAGGTGGTCAGACTCGCTGACTTGGTTGACACATGTCATCGTATCCCAAATGCATAGAACGATGCTCATGCTGTTGATCACTGGATTGTCTGGTCCAAATTCAATTATTTACAGACCGCCATCATATAGCTGGAATATTGCTGAGTGAGGCGTTAAACAACAAACCAACCCAATTCTGATCCTTGGTCCATCTGATTTATGCCAGTGATTGACAGGTTCATCTGAGTCGTAATTGTCTTTTTGAGCTTTCCTCTCTTACTTATGTTTAAGAACTGAAATATTGTTCAAACTGGTGCCAAATCCAACCCACTCACTCATAGAATAAAAATGTAGATGTTAGTGACTTGTACCAGGGATAATCTACAACACTCCCCGTTATATAGTCTCCCTGCTTGTACTGACAATACAACCAATTGTTGACTGCAGACTTTTTAGTTTGATATTGATTAAATAAACCCATATTGTTAACCAAATCTCTCTGTTGAAGTAATTCAGGGTATACTGGAAAGTGATCAGACTGACTAATCTTGCAGGCAGCGTCTTCACTTGACATGAACTTAACTGCTCATCCCCAGGGGAACCCTTGCTGTGATATGGCTTCAAACTTGCCACAAAAATCCATCTCACTCGCATTACAGGGTAAATTCTGTGTAATTGAAAGGTAATTGTGTACACAGATCTGCAAGACATGCACATGGTTCATAAAGCTGTTGTAGTGTTACGACTGTCATTAATTTAACGTTAAAGAATGGCCATGTCCTGGGTCCTGTTTCACAAAGTGATCTTAAGCGCAACTGTTGTATAACTCTTTGTTAAAGTATAGGAGATATGAGAGTTGTAGCGCTACGATTGTTGTAACTCTTTGTTAAAGTATAGGAGATATGAGAGTTGTAGCGCTACGATTGCTTCGTGAAACGCAGCCCTGGTGGTTGAAGTCCAAGGAGTAAGATTTCGGTGACTCCTTCCACAAGCTATTCTAGTGTATTGACAACCTGTAAGTTACACCATGAGATTTAGTATTGTCATAACGCTAAAATAGATTTGAGGAACAGGACCTTGGGATGTAACCTTGGGTAAAACAAAGGCAATGTTAACTGACTGTTTTTGAGGAGGTGGTGAGTTTTGTTTGGGAATTACGCTAAATAATCAGTGAGATCATAATGGTTTTTTGTTTTTGCTGGTATATGTGTTTTGTATAATATATGCTTGTTGACGTGTTGTTCAATAATGAAATACCTTAACACACGAGGGGGTAAATACTCATGTTATATTTAAAACTCAAAAGAGATACATTTCTCTCCTGAGAGTTCATTTTGTAATATATGGTCATCTGAACTGCATTATTAAATCAGTAACGAAAGGATACAATGAAATTAAAAGAATCGTTTCTTGAGAACCTATGTTCAACTTGTTGTGTCCACTATTAAGTGGGTATTATTGTTGATGCCAGACTTCAAAATAATACAAGGTTACTTTCATGATTTGTATAACAGTTTTATCAGATTATCATTTCTGGATGATAATCCATGATGTTCAATACAGATATGTCTCTTTCCTCATTATACCAGGAGGGCATTGAGTGGCGAGTTGATGACTATCACAGCTACGCATATCTTTGTGCTAAGGTGAACTTCAATTCTTATATAGGCTTATGATTGTCTTAGCACTAACATCAGTTTGTCCAACAGGGCCCTGTAAATTTATATACCTATATTATAGGTTTCTTTGTTTGTCAGTGATCTCCAATATTTGACATTTGACCACATTTTATAATATTATGTATGTTTAAGGCATTTTTTATTTATACTTTTGCTGTTTACCATAAACAGAGCAGGCTGTGTGTATGTACAGTTTGCTGAAAGGTAGGGCTGTTTCTTTTATCAGCTCAGAGTTTTTATTGAAGATCCTGGTTAGAATATCTCTGTTGCAACCCATGCTTGTTGTAGGAGGCCATTAACCAATGCGAGTTGTTTGACTTGGTTGATTCATGTCAGTTTACAGCACTCAATTTTGTTATAAATGACTGCACATTCATATTACGATATTTTATAGCATAAAGCCAACTAATAGGACACAGTTTATTGTAATTTGATACCCTAATTGACCATTCAGAATTAAGATGTTTTCAAACCATGTCAACCAGGAACTTTAGCTGATACAGGCAAGAGACAGATGTAAGCATATTTTGATCTGGTAAGCAAACGAATGGTAAACATTAAACTGATTGTAAGTTATACAAGTGGTAAAGCCAGGTGAGTGGACTCAAAAGGTTTGTCATGGTTTATTGATGAGATTAAAGTTTGTAAGGATTGTGTCCATGGTCTAGAGCTAGTAGGTATCTACATCAAACCTGTATATCTGTTAAAATATGGACTGATTGTGTCATCTGTTTGAACTGTCGTCCAGGTTTTCAGTTCTGTGTTAATAGCTTGCTTGATAACATGAAGATCATTTGCTCAGTAGACTGTTAGTTGTACTTCTTGGTATAGGAAGCTTTTGTTCTAATTTGTCGTATTTAATGCTTTATTTTGCTGCTTTTTACAATTTATTGTAATTAAGGTTTCTGTGCTGTACAGGCACAATGATACAATACTGTCTCCGAAGATATAGCTGTGATAATGGCATTTACAGAAGCTATGTCATGACATAAAAGCCGAAAATATTTTCAAAAGCCAAAATGTTTTCAAATGCCAAAATGTGTGCTTAATATGGAACACTAAACATGGTACTAAACTCACTGACACAGGCTTCAGTTTTTGTACAGAGTTGTCTCCATTAGATGTGTCAGGATACGATAACCAGGAGTTTAAATTCCACATTGCCCTGATAATGAACTATCATCTATTACTGAAGATAAGCCGAATTTTGAGGACCAAGAAAAGCAGTCTGTAGAAAGAGGTTGGCTTATCTACAGGCTACACTTTCGTCAAACTTTCTTTTCGTCAATTTTATTTTCGCTTGAACAAACAAGAGAAGACGTCAAATTGTGTTACTTGTGTTATTTTTACACTGTGTCAGTGCTTGATGGATTCATCAAAGGGTAATTCTCTGTTTAGTTAAGATATTTCTGTTCTTATAGATCTTTTTCGGGTGGTGAGAAATAT